TAAAAATAAAAATAAAAATAAAAATAAAAATAAAAATAAAAATAAAACAGGCACAATATCCCCTGCAATATGAGCTTTTTCAGCTTAATGTTAGAGTTGACACATGAGAGCATTTGAAGTTGAGAAGTGTTAACACATTTTTATCAACTCCCTCTTGCAGACATCTTCCTTGTGTGGGGGATCTGAAATGTGGAGGCACTGCTCTGCATTATGCCTCCCCTACATCTTCTACCCATGGTCTTGTTCAAATAAAAAGGTGGAGACTGAATTCTTACAGCCTTTCTGAATCATAATTCTGAATAATTTCTGAATATTAGGACAAGGATGAAACACAATAAACCAAAAGAGAGATTTACATTAGATGTTTGGAAGGAATTTCCAACATTCCGTAGATCAGGATGTGAGGCATGGAGCTGGTATGGAACAGGCAGCCCAGAGCAGATGGGGCTGCACCACCCCTAGAGATGTTTGAGATGTCAAGGGCCCTGTCATCCTGATCTACTGTGTGACAGCCCTGCACACAGCAAGGGAGTTGGAACTGGATGGGCTTTAGGGTCCTTCAATCCAAACCATTCAAAAATCCTACAATTCTTGTCAGCCTTTACCAACACAGGATCCTGTTTGCTTAGGTATTCCCTGATCACCTCTTCTTTCTCCAACAGTACATCTGCCTTGCACCAACATTTCCCACCTGTCTCTGGCACCCAGGATTCCAAGAAGCCCAGACCAACTAATAAACCGTGAGGTCAGGAAAGAAATGAATGTCAGAGACATTTTCATGTCCTGTCTCATGATGTTCACTGCCCCATTCTACGCTGGGCCCACATTCTCCCTAGCCTTCCTTTTGTAGACTACATTGTATTTCTTCAAGCCCTCCTTGTCTGTGATATGCCTGGGCTCATTCAATTGCGGTTGAACTCTGATGTTCCTAAATACATCTCAGCAGGAACACTGGACATAGTCTCTGCATTGCTGCCAGGTGACCTCCTCTTGTTTCCACTTCCTGCACACCTCCTTTCTGTGTTTGGGTGAGACCAATGCAATCCATTCCCAGTCATGCAGGAATTCTGACATTTATATTTGGCTTCCTGTTCCTTGGAATGGACTTATTCTGCTTGGAAGCCATGATCCTTTTATTATAACCACATTTTTTTACCCCATTCACCTCAGAGCCTTTCCCTGCTGTACTGTATGTCACAGAGAACTGAAGAAGCCAAGGTGTGCTCTTCTGAAACATAGGGTTGTGAGATTGTTTTTTACCCTCCTTCAGACTCCTCAGCTCCACCAATCCATGGCCACTGCAGCACAGGTTCACTGTCATCTTCACATTCACATTCCCCACCAGCCCTTCCTTTTCAATGTGTTTGAGATCCAGCAGATCACCTCTGCTCTGATTCCTCTATGGCTTGCTCAAGAAGCTGCCAGCTGTGCTCTCCAGGGATCTCCTGCATGGTGCATGCCCTGCTGTGCTGTCCCTGCAGCAGACACTGCAGTGAAAATGGCCTCCAAATTGCCTGACAAGATGAGGCTCCCATCTGCCTGCAGAGGGCACCTTCCACTTGCTCTTTCTGACCAGGAAGCCAGGAACAGACACTGCTGGTCTCCTTTTGTTGCCATTACCATTTGCTCTGACCTGGCTGCTCTGCCATCCCCAGGAGAAGTTCAGTGCACTCTCCCAGAGCGCAGTCACCTTTCCTTGTCTCCTCACTCATCCATCACAAATATTCTGTATCCCTCTTGTGCTGCAGTCCAGATGTGGAAGCCCTTTAACCGTGTCCCTGTGGTCCAAACAAGAGCTCAGGCCTGCAACGGAACAAAGACTTCTAGGTCAGCGTGTGTTGGTGTTCTCATTAGTGTAAAAGCACATAAAGAAACAAGCACCATTGTTCCTAGCATGGCTGCATAACACATCTACGGTATTTGTGTTCAGAAGGTGGCACACAGGCATTAGACCCACTGTGAGGCTCGGAGTTCTCCAAGCAGCACGGACACTCCTAGGACATGGCTTTCCTGAAGGCCCTGTGCTGCATTTGCCAGCAGCATCTGCGTGTGCTGGACCACCTAGGGAACTGGCATGGCACTAGGCTGCTTCTGATGCCGTTCACATGTATGCCCATAGAAAACTGAGATTTCATCAGTTGAAGAATAAAGATGTGTGCCAGCTCTGCAGTGCCTGGAACTTCAAAATATTCAGCAGATGGTGAACAGAGAAAGATCCGTCTCTTCTTTTGTGAGCTCAGCCATTTAGTCAGCTGCATAACTCTGCATGCACCATGGAGACGGGTAAAGAAGGCAAACTTGGGTGCCATGAACGAAGGGGTCGGTTGTCATTTAGGATGTCTGAAAATACCATTATCCCCTTTCTGGCCCTCAGCTGATGCTCAGGAAGGAGGTGTCTATCTCAGGGATTTCCCACACACTTCACAAGTACTGGCACACATCCAGCAGCACCCCAGGTCATCACCCAGGGTCTGTGTGTGAGCAACTGACTCCCTGCTGAAGGACCAAGGACTCAGAGCAGGAGCTCACATGCAGGCAACTCCTTGTGCACATCTGAACTGAATTCCAGAGGAATCACTGAAACTCCGGTGGGTCTGTGGGGATCTGAACACAATTTCAATCATAAGATTTCCATCCAGGAATGAGGTGCCTGCACTGCCTCATCTGGATCACTGCCCTGCACAGGGGAATTCCACTGTCCTTGTCTGTGTGCCCTTTTTGTTTCAGCAAACACTCTCTGGTAGGACTAACCATATGTCTGCAATCAGTCACTGTCCACTGGATATTTGGAGGTTAAATGAGCACATTCAAAGTACAGTCATGACACTGTTGTCTGTCAGGAGCTGTTGGCCATGGAGACCCAGGGACATCTCAGGGGAGATCAGTAGGGAAGATAGAAATGACATCCTCGGCTGCTGAGCTGTTCTGGGCTCCTGAGACTCTGGGAGCTCCTACCCGTGGGCAGTGCTGCAGGGAAACAGCTGTGCACAGGAGCAGCTCCTGTGCAGCACACAGCAGGGCTGGGGACATGGTCTGCAAGAGACAGGTAGAGGAAATTGTGAGAATCCTTCTTTGTTTTTCTGGCAAGTGATGGATGTTGTGTGGCAATCAACATCGCTGTGTGGACAATTTGACATCTTTGGAGCTGTTTGCCTTCGGAAGATGGTGCTCAGGACTGTTTGCTGGCAGAAGATCTAGCCTGTGACCAAATAACTCCTGTTTGCTATGGAAGGCTGGGGGATGATACCATTGTATCCTGCGAAGGCAAGATACAAGTTGGTGCCTCCCTGCTTCCTCTTATCTGCTGGCAAGGCCAGGAAGATAAGAACAAAGAAGTTTTCTGCTGAGATCACAGAGCCAGAAGCTGCCACTCAATGGAGGGCTGACTCAACCACCTTGGGTTTGAGCTGTCACTGCAAAGACCGCTGATTCAACCACTTTGAAACCATTGAAAAGGGGCCGTCATCGCCATGGTCGTTGTCGTCGTGCCTCGTCGTTGTTGTCAACAGAACAACTCTGCCTGACGACCCACCGCTACTGAAGATCAAAGACTAAACTACGAACCACGCTGGATCCATGGTATCTCCCTCTTGCTGCCTATAAAGACTCATTGCTTCTTGTTTTCTATCTTTTCTATCGCCCTCCTTCCCTTCCCCATTACCCTAATTCATAATAGTGTCCGTCCTCTCCTTCCCCATTTCCCCTGATTAAGATTTGTAATAAACTGGTCGGACCAACATTTGAAACGTTGCTTCTTAATCTCGCGCCGGGTATATAGATAATAAAAGAATCTCCTCTCCCTCCTATAAATTGGAGCGAGACAGAAATAAGGAAGAGAGCTGACAGGCTGTGTGGCACGTTAGGCTGTGAGCTTACGGAAGGAGCATTTCTCACAGCCCTTGACCAGGTAAGTCCCTCATTGCAGTCAGTGTAGTGGCTTTAATGCAGGAATTACCAAATCTTGGACATCCCATTGCAGGTCAGGGTGAAGGCACTCCATGTTTCTTTATTTTGGATAAAAACCTGCTCCAGCTGAGGGCTTCCATACTGCAGCATCAGAGCACAGCCCTGTGTGTTCAGGCCGTGTAGCCAGGGCTGCAGCCAGGTGCCCAGGGCTGTCCTGCAGAGCAGGTCCCTGCTGTGCCCCAGGGGCTGTGTGCCGGGGCAGGGACTGTGCTGCCTGCCAGGCTCAGCACTCAGCCTGCCCGGGGAGCTGCCCAGGGCGCTGTGGGGAGATGTGTGGGGGGAAGGAGCCCCCCGGCAGGGCAGGGCAGGGCAGGGCAGGGGCCTTCAGCTGCCACAGCTGCTGCCTGGGGTAGGGGGATCACAGCTACACTGCATGCCTCCGTGTTTCCAGAGGTACTTTGCAAGAGGAGAGACAAGGAGGGGATTTTCCATTTCCTGTTCTGAGAAAAGGGAAAAGGATTAAAGGCAGAAATCTAAAACAGGCTGTCAACATCAAACACATCTCAAAGAGTCCTGAATTGTACTTTCATCTGTCATTTGTTTTGCGTACACTGAATGAGCTTTCAACCTCTCCTTTCATTTTCCACATACTTGAATAATGCACTTAGCCTGTTAAAGGCAGCTTTTTCTAACAGAAATTTGAGGGCACAGAGGTAGCGGCAGGAGACTTGAACAGCAGGTGGGGTGAAGATATAAGACATGGAAACAGATGAAAATATCTAGCAAGATTGGGTAAGATCAGAAAATGAGAGGAAGGCAAAAGCTCCATGTGCTTCTTATGCTTTTGGAATGCTGAGCTTCATGAAATTAATTTGAAGTAATGGAGCTAATGAATCCTGTCCTAACAGAAAGAAAAAGTTTTATAGTATAGCAGGAGCGACTCAGAATATTCTTGTCATTATCTTCTGCACTCTGCACAGGACTTCATGCCCAGGAACTGCAGATGCCCAACAGCAGCTCCATCAGCCAGTTCCTCCTCCTGGCGTTGGCAGACACGCGGCAGCTGCAGCTCCTGCACTTCTGGCTCTTGCTGGGCATCTACCTGGCTGCCCTCCTGGGCAACGGCCTCATCAGCACAGCCGTAGCCTGCCACCACCGCCTGCACACCCCCATGTACTTCTTCCTCCTCAACCTCGCCCTCCTCGACCTGGGCTGCATCTCCACCACTCTCCCCAAAGCCATGGCCAATGCCCTCTGGGACACCAGGCACATCTCCTACGCTGGATGTGCTGCACAGCTCTTTTTCTTTCTCTTCTTCATTTCAGCTGAATATTCCCATCTCACTGTGATGTCTTATGACCGCTACATTGCCATCTGCAAGCCCCTGCACTATGGAACCCTTATAAGCTTTAGAGCTTGTGCCACCATGGCAGCAGCTGCCTGGGGCAGTGGGGTTCTCTATTCCCTGCTGCACACAGCTGGTACATTTTCTATGTCTTTCTGACTTAGTAATGTTGTGGAGCAGTTCTTCTGTGAAATGGCCCAGATCCTCCAGCTCTCCTGCTCAGAACCAGACTACCTCAGGGAAACTGGGATTATTTATTTCAGTCTTTGTTTAATCTTTGGGTGTTTTGTTTTCATTCTTCTTTCCTATGTGCAGATATTCAGGGCCGTGCTGAGGATGCATTCTGAGCAGGGACGGCACAAAGCCTTCTCCACGTGCCTCCCTCACCTGGCTGTGTTTTCCCTGTTTCTCAGCACTGTGATGTTTGCCTATTTGAAGCCACCCTCCATTTCCTCCCCATCCCTGGACCTGGTGGTGTCATTTCTGTACTCAGTGGTGCCTCCAGTAATGAACCCCCTCATCTACAGCATGAGGAACAAGGAAATCAAGGATGCTCTGTGGAAACTGTTGAACAAATGTGTTTTGAAGTCAGTGAACTGCCCAACTTTTTCTATCTAAGAATCGTAATGCAGATTTTAACAGTATCAAACTGTATATTTTTGGTTTGTGTATTCATTGTCAGAGTGTAATTTATTGAATGTTTTATTCTCTGTTATATGTATTCTAATTTTTTTCACTGAAATTATCATTATGCACATCAATTACTACTCAGTTTGTACCTGTGCAGTGTCGTCCAGACATGCTGTACATGGGGAAGCAGGCTCTCTCCTGAATCAGAACAAAACAAAGGGCATGCAATGACTTTGTCTGTCTTCCTTCCTGTGAGACATTTCTGGAACTGCTAGCGTCAGTTCTCCTCACAAACCCACAATCCAGCAGGAGGCATACGGCTGTTAATCCAACTGTGTGGTGACTTCAGCCTGCAGTAGCTGATGGGCCATCCCTTGGCTCCTGGCTGGGGTCTGTGCTTGCAGGCTCACATCTGTCAGTGCCTCTGACAGGCCAGCAGCAGCACCTGGTTTGCATATTGGTTCTGAGATCCCCTCTTTCTCAGTTCCTTTGAGACCTTGCATTGTACAAGTTCTTGGCTATGATTTCTCATCTCATAAATTTCCAGTCTTCCTTAAGGGCTTCTCCATTTTGCACACAGAGGATTCCACTGTCTCCAGGATGGTCTGTGATAGAGAAATCATGTACAAAGATCTGACAAAAGTTACTCGGGACTTGTAGGAGCCATCCTGGAGCATAGGCTGGTAGTTTAAAAGTTGCCCCTAATAAGATGAGGAGGTCAGGAGAAGCCTGTAGAACAGAGATGGGAGATAGAGGGGAGGGAAAAGGAGCTTGCCCTGCAAAAAATATGGATCTTGAAGAGGAAACTGGGGTTAAGGCGATGTTGGTGCTGCTGTGACTCACTCAGACTGCAAAACCCACAGACCTTAAGCCTTCTTTGTACCTCAAAGTGCATTCCTCACCCTGACAGGAATCCCCTGCAATAATGCTGAACATCAAAGCTTCTCCCGAAGCCCAAATTCAGAACTCCAGTACCCTAGTCACACCTTTACTCTCTTGCACAGTCTCATCCTTGGTCCATGGGTGTCCAACCTTTTGGCTCACCTGGGCCACATTTAGTGAGTGGAAGTTTTCTCAGGCTGCATATGCTCAAGTTCCTTCAAAAGCAAGGCTTCCTATTTATTACCATGGGAACTACAATAAACACAAAGACCACCATAACACTATTGGATAGAGCAAATTCTCAGCTAAAAATCACTGTTTTTCTACAGTCACCACCATTAGCTATGCATTTTTGCCAGTGATGAACAACAGCCTGCATACCATGCTCATCACCATCTGCATCAGCGAAGGTGACCCACTGTCACCACTGCTGAAACTTAATAAACTTAATAAAATGGTGGCATTACTTTTGAGGCAGCTCTCATCACTGGAGGTCGGTGGCCCTCCCTGCGGCAGGGGATTGGAACCTGCTGGTGTTCGGAGCTCCTTCCCAATCCAACCATTCTATGTCTTACGATTCTCATAAAATATGTAATACTGTTAACATAGAAGTAACAAAACATTTCATTTAATATCTTGTTCTTACAATATTCATTAAAACAAACAAAAATAAATAAACAAAAGCAAACAAACAAAAACCATAAAACCAGTGGTATATTTGACCTTGTTTTTGTGAAGCTAACACAGCAGTCTGGTAAGATGGCAGCTGTTGTGAATCCTAAAGTCCAGCCTGAATCTCCCCCGGTGCACCTTGAGGCCATTTTCTCTTTTCCAATTACTGTCACATGAGAGAAGAGGCCGACCCCCATCTCCCTGCAACCTCCCTTCAGTCACACAAAGCAATAAGGTCTCCCCTGAACCTTCTCTTCTCCATACTAAACAACCCATCTCCCTCAGCTGCTCCTCATAAGGCTTGTGCTCCTGGCCCATACCAGTTTTGTTACCCTTCTGTGGACGTGCTCCAGGGCCTCAATGTCTTCTTTGCAGTGACGGTCCAAAAAGTGAACACAGCACTGAAGTTGCAGCCTCACCAATGTGCGTACAGAGGGCCAATGACTTCCCTACTCCTGCTAGAAGTGCTATTTCTGATACAAGCCAGTATCCATTGGCCTTCTTGGCCACCTGGGCTCACTGCTGGCTCGTGTTCCTCTGAGCATCAATCAAGTCATCATCAGGTTCATTTCCTTTACACAGTCTTCCTGCCACTCTGCCCCATGCCTGTAGCCTGGGATTGCTGTGGCCTAAGCATAGGACACAGCATTTGGCCTTGCTCTACTTCATCCCATTGGCTACAGGATACAGGATATAATATACAATTTAGCAGGATAGTATGTCTGACAAAGCAGAGATCTCCATCCTGCCCCTTAGTTCTCCTGCAAGCAGGAGAGCACACAGAAAACTGTGTTCCATCTTTTATGCTCTATGGACGCTTATCTCTTTCTCCCCTGGTTCCTCATTGGCTGAGTGCTTCACAATCTTCCTGACACTCAACTAAACATATGGATACTGGCTAAATATCAACTGTTGCTAACTAAGCATATATTGCTCATCAGTTAACTTCTCACACTTGCTCATTCAGCACTTGATCGTTGCTTCTGGACATCTGCTAGTCCTCGCATACAGATAAACTTGGAAGTAGGATAGGGAGGAGTGTCTTCAGGCCTGCTGTTGCATCCCAGCCTACCCACAGAGCAAGGCAAGCCAGCCTTGTGTGGAGGCCCTGGCTTCTTTGATGTTTGTCAAATCTGTTTTTCTTTTGCTGAGGGTCTCTTATCCACAGAAAATAGCCCTACAATATGCCTATGGTAATACCATAACTATACTATTTGGAATACGAAAAACAACCGCAGATTGGTGGAACAGCTTGTGCTGGATGTCATCTCCAGACAACTGGAAGAAGAGGAGGTTATCAGGAGTAGTCAGCACGGGTTCACAAGGGGGAGGTCGTGCTTGACCAGCCTGGTAGCCTTCTATGATGTTGTCTCTGGCTGGGTGGATAGGGGGAGAGCAGTGGATGTAGTCTACCTTGATTTCAGCAAGGCATTTGATACTGTCCCCCATGACGTCCTTATAACAAAGCTGAGGAAGTGTGGGATAGATGAGTGGACAGTGAGGTGGGTTGAGAACTGGCTGACTGGCAGAGCACAGAGGGTCGTTGTTGGCGGTGCAGAGTCCGGTTGGAGGCCTGTAAGCAGCGGTGTTCCTCAGGGGTCGGTGCTGGGTCCGCTCTTGTTCAACATCTTCATCAATGACCTTGATGAGGATGGTGGCCACCCTCAGCAAGTTTACACGAAGTTGGGAGGATTGGCTGACACGCCTGAAGGCTGTGCTGCCATTCAGCGAGACCTGGACAGGCTGAGAGCTGGGCAGAAAAAAAACCGGATGAGGTTTAACAAAAGCAAGTGTAGAGTCTTGCATCTGGGGAGGAATAATTGCATGCAGCCGTACAGGTTGGGGGATGAGCTGCTGGAGAGGAGCTCTGTGGAAAGGGACCTGGGTGTCCTGGTGGACGACAGGTCGGCCATGAGCCAGCAGTGTGCCCTTGTGGCCAAGAGGGCCAATGGCATCCTGGGATGCATTGCAAAGAGCGTGGCCAGCAGGTCGAGGGAGGTGATCCTCCCCCTCTGCTCTGCCCTGGTAGGGCCTCATCTGGAGCACTGCGTGCAGTTCTGGGCTCCCCAGTACAAAAAAGACAGGGATCTCCTGGAAAGAGTCCAGCGGAGGGCCACAAAGATGGTGAGGGGCCTGGAGCATCTCTGCTATGAAGAAAGGCTGAGTGAACTGGGTCTGTTCAGCCTTGAGAAAAGGAGACTGAGAGGGGACCTGATCCAGGTCTATAAATATCTAAGGTGTGGGGGGCAGAATGGCGAGGCTGGACTCTTTTCAGTGTTGAATGGAGACAGAAGAAGGGGAAACGGCCGGAAACTGCAGCATAAGAATTTCCACGCAAATGTATGAAGGAACTTCTGTACAGTGAGGTGACGGAGCACTGGAACAGGCTGTCCAGGGAGGTGGGGGAGTGTCCTCTGGAGATGTTCAAGACCTGCCTGGATGCCGACCTGTGCGACCAGGTGTAGGGAACTGCTTTGGCAGGGGGTTGGACTCGATGAGCTCTGGAGGTCCCTTCCATCCCCTACAATCGTGAGATTCTGTCATTCTGTAAGCAAGATTTAATCACACAATTCATCGACTGTATTTCTAAAGCATGTTACTAACATAGATGGTATTTCTACTTTTCAAATCAGCAATTTCTAAAGACAAATTACAAAATACTAATACATGGTGCTCTACTTCTTCAGTTTCATTCCCTCTTTTTTTAACATGAAATGTAGAAACAACATTCCATTCCTATGTAACTGGCAACAAAAGGGTAATCCTATTTGGGCTGCTGAACTGTGGAAAGAGATTGCTACCTGAACAAGGAACATGGTTAGGGTTAGGGCCCAAATAAAGGATATGGCTGTAAAGGCGCATCATGTGGATGCTCATGTGCCCAAGAGTTTGGCTACTGAAGAACAGCAAAACAACCATCAGGTAGACCGAGCTGCCAGGATTGAGGTGGCTCAAATAGACCTGGACTGGCAGAACAAGGGTGAATTATTTCTAGCTCTATGGCTCGTGAGACCTCGGGCCATCAAGGAGGATATGCACCATGTAAGTTGGCTCGAGACCGAGGGGTGGACTTAACTATGGATGCCATTGCACAGGTTATTCATGACTGTGACACAATTAAACCCAAAGACCCCAAAGACCCCAAAAGACCCCAAAACCCAATGAAATCCAACCCACAGGGCCAGAAAAAAATGAGTGGGGTACACTGTCCTGTGCTATAGGAGTGGAGGCTCACCACCGACGTTGTTTCCCTGGTTTCAGCACCAAATTGTGAGAAACTCGCTCAACATCAACAATTTCTAATCAAGCAAAGATCTCTAAGAGCAGCTTATTCATTATTGCAGTAATGGATGCACCCCCCGTTGACAAGGTAGAAATTGGACAAGTACTCGCTGAAATCCATCCCTTTATATACCCTGGGTCCAATGCAGGTA